TATACGTATAACCAAAGCTTCGTTATAAATCAAATGTCAAATTATTTTAACACTTCAAACAAACATTTCGCTTACAACAAATACCTACATTACGAACTTAAGATTAATAAATTATAAATGATTCAATGGTTGAGCTCAAATATCTTCTATTCGTGCTATTGGGCCTTTGTGGCCCAATATCATGATTATTGGGCCCAATATAATCACACATGTTTATTGGGTTTCCGGTGACCCAATTACATACCCAATGGCCCTTTATCAGCTTTAACATGCTATTGGGCCTTAATGGTCCATTTGCATTGCTAATAAGACCCTAAACATTCATAATATGCTTAATGGGCTATAACGTGTCCGTAACATACTCGACAGCCTGTAATAACATACAAAGTTAGTAGGCCTCCGTTGTCCTCTTTTCTTTGTCTGTTAGGCTTACCTTTTATACAAGTAAACATAAATCGGGTTATAAAACAATGTTATTCAATTTCGTTTGGATTTCGTGAGATATAACGGGTGACACCAATAAGTGTCGGTCGTAGTCTGTAGTTATAATCAAAGTCTCCTGGAGGGAGAGCGAGAGTTTGTGTATAGATCTATACGGGGGTGACTCCCCCACACCTAAGCTGTTCGCTACAGTTAGACTCGGCCAGTCTAGGGTGACAAAATCTTAATTCAAGACCGACATTCGATAAAATGCCAAGACAGGCGAATTAGTCATTATTATGCATGGTTATAACGGCTCACATAGAGATCCATTATCATTCAAGTAATCATGGGAAATCATATTCATACGCTGTGACGATGCAAAGAGATTATACAATAATACAAAACTATCATACCTTTTATATCGGAAAACATCGGGTTTTCCGAGGAACAACATTATTCACTTCTACTTACAATAACTATATTACAAGGAACTACTATGAAAGGCATTTCACTTTTACATGTTTTGAAAGCATATACACGTATACTTATGGATCATCACACCTTTTTCGTAAACAGTTTTCGTTTCAGAAAATATCGGATTTTCTGGGTTTTAAAGACAATACAAAACATTTTCACACCAAACCTGCTTATGAACTCACCAACATTATATATGTTGACCGTTTTCAAAATAACTTGTGTTCTCAGGTAACCGTTAGAATGAAGAATTATCAAGCGTGTTTCTGAACGTCTTTTGTGTGTTGTCAATTGATAAACAATTTATGTTTTGGATTATGTAATGTAAACAATCTACTGGATGTGAACAATGACAGTTGTAATGTATTAATGCATGGTGATGTTTATGTTATGTTTCATGTATATTCATTGTGATGATATTTCAATTTAAGTCACACGAGCCCTCAGACGTTTCCGCCGTCTGGTTCGGGGGATGTGACAGTTATATCTTAGTTATCCTCTGAGTTTGTATTGACAAATTTAGGACTTATTTAGGTATTGTTGCCACTCGGACTTCACATGGACTCTTTCTCTTTCATACAACCTTTGTCAAAGAGATTCTCTCTCATGCTGAGATGTCAATCTACAATCCATGTAGCATCCTCATAGATACTAAGCATAACTTTCCGTCTTTGGTAAACTTGTAGCTGACTCAACCCTTTCTCGAAACCTTTCCGGTGTTCTTCAATATATGACATTCACTATTCCAGATAAATTTCGTATGGGATTCAACAAATCTACCTATTTGTGTATGATCTTCGCAAACCTTACTTTCTTGCCTTCAAGCCATTTTGCGATATCTTCAAGGTACTGCTTTGCATGGTATGTCCATACGTTAATCATGTTAACCGTTTGGTTTCTTATTTTGATGTTGACTGGGCTGGCTGTACTAAGACATATTGGTTAACATTTGGATTCTGTGTTTATCTCGGTGACAACCTAATCTCTTGGTCCTACAAACCTCAACACGTCGTGCCCAACTTAAGTAATGAATTCGAGTATATGGGGTAGCTAATGTAGTTGAAGTCGCATAGTTTATAACCTCTTACTCAAATTGCCCTGTCATTTAACTCCTACTAATTCTGTTTTTTGTGACAATGTTAGTGACATGTACTTGGCTTCTAACCAAGTGTAGCACCAAAGAACAAAGACTTACATTTTGTTAGGGAATGTGTTGTCATTAGTCATGTAAGCATGTTGCATGTTCCATCTACTCATCAATTTGTTGATATATTTATAAAGGGTCTTCCTACATGGCTATTTTTATATTTTCAAAATAGTTTAAGCATACTTGAACCTTTCACACAAACTGAGAGGGAGTGTTAGTTTGTATTTATTTTTAATACATTTATAATGTATGTTTCTTTGTGTAAGTAGTGTATATTGGTTGTATTATTTAAAACAATGAAATATACTACAAACCCTAACGGGTATTTTCAGAAACCAACACTAAAGAAATCCCAATAAATGAAAGTACTTGCCTAAATAGGATGCTACACGGGAATATTCAACCATGTTCGTGGCCAGATTCCTAATATGAAAGGATCTAATCGACCCGGGGAGAGGGGGGGATTTTTTATATTAGAGATAAATGTTTTCTCTTACAAATTATTTCCTAAATTTAAGTTATCTAGTTACCTTTATTTCATTTCCTAGATTAGTACCTTTTAAGATTGAAGTTTATTTGTTAGAACTTAAAATTCTATTTAATGGTATCTCAATAATTAATACTCTACACTCAATTTTATCAAATATTTTCTACAACATATTGAATTTTATAAAGTTCAATAAAACATATATTTAATAATTAATGTTTTTTTCCATTGAAGGGGTTAATGGGCATTGAACTTCAAATCATTTAAATGCCAACATGGTATCCCACAATGATATAATTTAATTTATTGAATACCAATTAGATATGTCACATCATTCAATTATCATATTCGACTGCATTATAGATGCTTTAAAAAAACAACCCACTATGATAGAAAACTATCACTAACACTTATTGACTTTTGGAATTATATGAACTTATAAATAAATAATACATTAAATATGATCATAATAAAGTATCATCTTAACCAAATGGTTTCTAGCACAGAGGTATTCGATGTTGTCCCATAAGGTCAAAGGTTCAAGTCGTGTCAGACACATAGGTGAATTTACTAGCAAGAAATTGGCTGAGTTGGCCTTGCTAAACTCATTGGAAAGGGCTTTACGAAAACCGATGTTGTTGCTCTTTTAGAAGATTGCGACACTTCAACTTGTTTTCCATTTTATCTGTGATCCGTTGTAAAGAAAATTATAACCCGAATTGACCCGTTATTAATAACTTAAGCATCTAAATTGGCTTGATAGAATGTAAATGAACACCTTAACAAAAAGCTATGAACCAAGGAAAAAACAGACAAGGTCGAAAACCACTGTGTGGTTTGAGTGAGAAATCACCAAACATGTGCTCGATATAATATATTTAAAAGCTTAGTTGAATAACAAACATTAACTTCTCAAATGAAATACTTCACCATTTGTATTTCTTTCTCTTTAAACCCACATTTCTCATAAAAAGCCTTATTATCATCACTACAATCAAGAATCACCTTATAACAACCATTAGAACGAGCATGATCCACAAGAAAACAAACCACTTTCTTCCCTAATTGCAACCCTCTTGCACTCGAATCAACCACAATGTCCTCAATATGTCCAACTTTCCCACACCCCCTTATGAATTTCTTCTCAATGAACACACTTCCAGTTGCAATGATCTTTGATGACATGGCATCTTCAATCACACATATCACATGATCATCGCCACATGATTTGAGTTCTTCAAATCGGTTTTGGAATTCTTCATCTGATACAGGATGACACACTGTAAGTTGCTGTAGAAGTTCCATGAATCCTTTGCTCTTGTCTGTTATCTCCAACTTTCTAACTTGATGTGCTTCTGCTTCATTGGAATCTTTGTTGTTTTGCATCTTTCTTGACTCTTTGTTTATATTGTAGACTATGTAAAGAAGAAAGAAACGAATTATTACACCAAATAATAAACAAATACTTCTTTTGTTCCATAAAAGTTGCAACATAAAGTATAGGTCTTGGATTATCTTTTCTTCTCCTTCAATCCCAATTCCAATTCCAGAGTAAGTTTTCTGTTTCCAAAAAAGTTATGAACTTTGTGTAGCTTTTGTTATTGTTCGTTTCTAGTGGATCAAGGGAATTATTCTGATTTTGATTTTAAGGAGGAAAAAGAAAAGATTTATGATTTAGCTCTTCAATCCCAAACAAGGCCTGCGACATTTTTCATTTCCGCAAACAGGATTGTATGCCATTTTTTCTGTTTTCAAAACTATATCCCTACCAATTAGGTTTCGATTTTCTACAACTCACACAAAATTAACTAGTGACAATTGACAATAAACAAATGAACTTTTAACAAAACGTAATGTATGTTAAAATTCCCAAATTAATAAACCCTAAATAAGTAATTATCAAGAAGTAACAAACAATAATGGATTTCGAAGACAAAAATGAAACACAAAAATACCTCAAACTTAGAGGCGGCAGAAGACGGTGAGCGGATCCGGGCGGTAGGAGGAGTGGAGGCGCCGAGCCGACGTTGCTCGAAGAGAGAGAGAGAGAGAGAGAGAGAGAGAGAGAGAGAGATTTTTGAGGAAATGCGTTTTTTCATTCCGATTCGAGATACAACACGTTGTTTTATTTCATTATTTTTTTTAAAGTTTATTTAAAAAAAATCAGATTAGACTAAAGAGTAAATTACGTCCCTATGGTTTAGGGTAATTTGTGTGTTTGGTCACTAACTTATTTTTTTAACTCGGAAGGTCCCTACTGTTTACTTTTGTTACGTGCATGGTCCCTATCTTACCTAAAAAAACTATTTTTGCCTTTGTTTTTTTAATTTATTTAAATAAACACACCTCCAACCTCACCCCCTCACCTTATCTTACATAACCCACTATTTTTCTCTATTTAAATAATATTTTTTTTTTAAGTAAGATAGAGACCAAACGCATAACAAAAACAAACAGTAGGGACCAAGCGCGTAACAAAAACAAATAATAGAGACCTTCCGAGTTAAAAAAATAAGTTAGTGAACAAACGTGCAAATTAGCCCAAACCATAGAGACCATTCGTGTAATTTACTCTAGACTAAACGTTTACTTTATACAAGATTTGATCACAATCACAATTTTTTTAAATTGGTGGTGATTTTGACAATGTTTGTATATGATGTTATTTTATACACTTTCATATATTTATTTTTTATTTTTTAAAATTATTATTATTATTATTTAATTTAGAAAAGAATCCACATCTCTTTATATCTCTCACACACACGAATAAAAAATAACACAACCCACCATCATATTCCTTCGTTCATTTGTTATCACCATCATAACCTTTTTTATTTAGAATTTTCACAAAACAAAAAGTTGAATCTTCGTGAACTTTTGACGATTAAACATACACACACAACCAAAACCTTCTCATTTGCGGAAAGAAACACAACACAAAATTAAACACACACATGCCAAAAACTAGGGATGAGCATATGACCCGTTGGACCAGACCGGATCGGAAAAAAACCGGGACCGGACCCGGTCCGAACCGGATATACATATTAATGGGCCGGTTTTCGGGTTTTGTTTTTACCACTAATCGGGTTTCGGGTTTGGA